CAGAAATGGCTCAAAAATGCACTAGAGGACATCTAAATTTTTAAAAGTTCAGATCCCCCTGCGCCCTTCGGGTAAGTCATTCACAGGGTCGATACCCCCCACCCCACCCAGAATTTCTGGATCCGCTAGCGAGGTCAGGCAAGGAAGTTATTCACTCATTAATATTCTGTCTCCCTCTGTCACAGATACTTGTCTGCTTTCTATAAATCTCAGGTATTACATGCAGGAGAGAAAGAAGTAATGTTCGTTTCTCTTCAAGCCTCCCTCTTCCTCTCTCTCTCTCTAGAACAAAACTACCAACACTAATACTGCTAGGAATGATTATTTTCCATGCTAGCCATGTAAGATGATAATCGTAAAAGTAGACATCACTCTGGGGTGGCTCACATCACACCATAGGTAGAATAACATTCAGTTGAGTTTCCATGAAATTTCAGTTTTATTCAACCTGCAAACAATATATTGCAAATAACAAGTGACATCAACACAGGAATTTTAAGTCAGTGAGAACACAAAAATAATGATTTAATTGAGGAGCCACAACTTTGGAAACTTGTTCAGAATGATAATGATTAAACTTCTCACACACAGGTAATCATTACACAAAATCCTCTGAGAAAATTCGTAGTATTAATCCACAATCACACACTTTCAAATACAAGACCAGTTTACTTGCATGATGGCACCTTGCCCCTGAATGATGATATCCAAGCAATACCTCAGAATAATAGAAAGAAACTCAATGTGCAACGTCTTCCAGAAGTAAACAATGTATTTTCATTAAAACTTAAAATCGATAATTCTTCCTCTACAAAATTAGATACTTCACGTGTCGATAGTTTTCAAAATAAATACACATTTCTATATTTCTAATGTACACAATAATAACACAGATTCCAATATTATTTACAATAATGCACATATATGTTTCACTATTATTTCCAAAACAATACAATAATGATAGTAAGGATAATGATGATAATAATAAAGAGATAGTGGTGGATGTTGGAGAGTGATAAACTTTTGTTTTTTGTTTCTCTGCATTCGATTTTTCTCGCTCTTATCTCTTGGGGATGCAATCCCAGACTTGTCTACACTAACTGCAGCTCCAACACTGCGCTTTCACATGGGATCATCGGTGTTTCCTCTTGTGAGTAACAATAGGTGATTTTGTCGATAGGTAATTTTGAAGCACATTTGCAATTTGCTTGCTCTCGTGCCTGCAAGGGCGCCATGTTGCATATGAAATTGTAGCACAGACGCTCTTCTTTCGAGTAATATAGGTTGCAATGGATGGCTGCTACAGTATGGGAGCAAAGGGTTCAATAGTTTAGGTGTAAGAAATTTTGATATTCGAGAGGGTAAATGGATTCCAAAATTTCGTGCGGTGAGGACTTTCCGCCCTCAAGAATTGAAACATGATAAGGACTTCGAAACGAACTGAGACCTCAGAGTAGGGGAAGAGGGGAAGAAGGGACAGGGGAGAAATGGGAGAAGAGAATGGGAAGGAAAAGGATATGGGCATTGGTGGAAGGGGAAAGGGAGGAGAAAAGGCAGGGGACAGAGGGAAGGAGCTGAGGGAGACAGCGGAAGGGGAAGCGGGTAGAGCTTGTACTGAGCAGAAACCCTCTATTTGGACTATGGAATGTATGTTGCGAGGACAACCACATTATCCGCACAGCCGCGTTATTCGCACCGCTGAGGGTTTCGAAACCGAAGGCGAGACACGCTTCGCCAGCAGCAAGCAGCAAGAGTTGGGCGAGGCTTGGCACAGAGAAAAGACGAGGCAAAGAAGAGAGAAGAGAGTAATTGATGCAGCTGCCGTTGTTGCAGTCAGACGGTACAAATACAGGTCCTGTATTTCACCGTTTTCTTTGGCCTTAAAAGTGACTGTTAGATCGACTATATGTTCTGTTATTATTATCGTTTTTTATTATTTTATTTATTCGTGGGTTCAGGTGTGATGTTGCATGCGATTGTGGGAACTCTTAAGATTTAGTATTGCTCGTGCTACTTTTATGACTTAAATCAATGTTGCCATATATTGTAATGGGGCAGGAGGAGATTGGAGAGATGGGGTAGGGTAGAGGGGGAGGGGGAGATGGGGATGGAGAAGGGGCAATGTGCCGTTCTTTCGCATTTTGACCCCTTAAGGAGAAGGGGCAAGGGAAAGAGAGGAGAGAGGAAAGGGGATTATAAGAATCAGAGGGGGAGGGGGAGGGGGAGCGACGAAGGGGAAGGAGGGAGAGGGGTAGGAGCAAAGGGGAATTGGTTGAAAATAGCGATGGTGATAAATCTGATGAGTATGAAAATAATAATATTTTGATCATGATAATTATGATAGTAAGAGTGATTATAATAAAGACAAAACATGATTTTGATAATCTTAATGATAATGAAGATGGTGATTGCTATTACGATGATAATGACGATTATGATCACCGTGGTTATATTGGCGAGTATAGGATTGCTTAGGATGAAAATGAAATATCAATAATAATAATGGTAATAATGTCAATGGTAAAAATGATAATAACGATAATAGTATTATATAATCATCATTACCATTTTCATTATCATTATTATAACGATAATGACAACACTGGCAGTAACAAGAGAACAAAGGTTTTAATAATGACATTGATGATGAAAATAATGACATGAAAAAGGTAGTAATTAACGTAATAATTACATAAGAAATGATAATTCTAATTATGAAGGTCATTTTCATGATATGTGTGAAGTTAATCATAAAGATGATGATAGGGATAAAGATTATAATGCTGACAATTCATTAGACTTTGTTCCATGGTCAGTAACTTCGGGAATAATTCATTATTTCAACCAACAATGGGATTCACAATACAAATATACCAGTATTAAAGGTTTCTTATGAAGGTTTACTATCATGTGGAAGATGATTCAAAAGCATTGAATGTAGTGACAGCTCACTTTAGCTTACATCATATTTCTTACTCGGATGTCTTTCATATATTTTAGATTTGATAAAAAATAAATAAATAAACATATGGAGCCCTAAAACTGATCTCTCAGCATGCACCCGCGGAAATCAGCTGATCGCTAGAAAACAGGAATCGCCCATATCCTCAGCTAAGTCGGGGGAACTTCGACAAATATATTAACAGGGATAGCCTTGCTGTTTATATTTATTTATTTTTTTTTTCAAACGAGAGTTCCGCATACATTTGCTGTGTATGATAATTATTGTTCATATAAA